ATAAGGGTTATGTATTCATCCTTCTTCTCATGTGGATTTCTCAGTGTTTGGAAATCCAGATAACCATCTGAACTGATCTAATTTACAAAAAAAAAAACATTTATACTTTGTCCCCACTTCATCACTATGAATTTAGAGTGTTTGCATGCATATACAAATTTGAAGGATTGATTATCAAGAAATCTCTTTTCATATAAAGTATCATTTTTAAAATTTATTTCATGCTGCCTTGTAGAAGTTTTTTTCCAAATTCAACCTGTCAAAGACTTTTTTGAGATTGCCAAGTTCAAGTCTTCCAAAAAGCCTTGAACCTGCACATTTTGATGCTACATGCACTGGCTGCAGAACATAATTTTGAAACATTTGTTGATTTAACTTTCAAATTTTGAAATTGATTTATGAATTCATTTATATGTTAATTTTTCTTCAGAGCTATAAATACAATTCAAATTGTAAGTTTTTTCTCATTTTTGGTTTTGTGTGTATATATATGAAACATTTTGATTGAATTTCATCCTGCATGGATGGAAAGAAAATGTATGGAAAGCAGAGAAAATAGATCACAAGCAACATTTTAATGATATTCAAAAATCCTCTGTTTTACAAATTGTACTTGGATTTTGAAATCCCCCATACTGTATAGTGCATTAACTGATCAAGAACAAAAAGGAGAAAAGGCTTCAGCTGTTGGGAATAAATCTTCAAGAAATAGAGATTTTATGATAAAAGGTTTGAACTCAACAAATTTAAGGAAATGAAACACAAGAATTTGGTTGGGCTACGACTGGGGTGAAAAATCACCCTATTTTAAAGTTGGTATACTTCAAAATTTCAAACACACACAGTCAATGCACACAATATTCATGAACGCACAGGAGTTTCTGGCATGAGAGCTCAGGGAAGAGTGAAGAATTTTGATTCATTCAGAAACCAGGAAACCTGTCCTCCAAGGACAAATAACAGGACCAGGATTTTAGCGATGGAAAACAGCCTTGAGGCTTCAAGAGAATGTGTGTGTGAACCAAGGTTGTCAAGGTTGTCACACAGGGATAAAGTGAAGACAAGAATTTGGGGTCTTAAGTTTAGTGTGTCGAATTTCATTCTTTGGTTAATTTTTGCAACATCAGCTACTGTTGAAATACTGTACTGCATATGGAATATGTGATATATGCTCATATTAACCCTTGGACGGCGGAGGGTTCTTTCCCATCACCGGCCAAAATCGGATTATTTTTGTATGCTGTGGCGTTTTAAGTTTTCTGAAGGTCAGAAAAGACCTTCCAGCTGGGCTCAGGCAAAGTTGGGATTAATCCAAGAAAAGCCCATTGCTTAGCATTGCATTTTTTTTTAATTTTTCCACAAAATTTTCTGTGCAAAAAGAAAAAAACATCGGATTTTTCCCCAACTTTGTCCTCAAATCCCTGTTGTCCTTTTTTTTTCTGCCCTGAGGTGTAACAAAATTTCACAAAAATAGTCCGACTTTGCCGCCCAAGGGTTAAAAATGATTAAAATGATGATTAATTTTGCAGACAAGAGCCATTGCTGTGAAGGAGAGAATGACAGGGACTGTTTGCCACTCAGCATCAGCAAGAAGGATTACTTCTATGGGAAACATTATGTGAACTGCTTGGAGTTCAAGAGGTCTTGCCCAGTCATTTTGGAGGGCTGTAGAATGGGCAGGAGAGAGCAAACCAATGCTGTTACTCCAGTGTTGGACTTGAGCCTTTCCTATGGCTCCAGTTATGCAGAGGAGAATGCCTTGAGGAACTATGCAAGAGATACTTGCCACTTGCCTGAATACACTGACAAATGCTCTGCTTGTGAGCCATTCTGGTAAGCTCTTTTTTTAGATTTAGGTCCAGACAAATATGATTAATTTTTTGCATTTAGATTCGCTTTTGTTCTACATCAATAATATGCATTTTTTATTTTCCAAATATGAAAATGGGGGCTTGAGAACATAAAAAATGCCAAGATAAATTTGTCCTTGAAAATCTCTCTGGTTTTTTGGCATGGAAGAAGAACAGGGTTCTGATCATTCTTGATTTTTTTTCAACACTTGTGTTTTAAATCTAGTCAAGGATGATTCTAATGCATGTGCCAAATATCATGTGCCAATTATAGATTTGGCAAAAAATGAGGCACAGTTGATGCCAGACAATCTGCTGCAATATATACATGACCAAAGTTGACCAATTTAATTTGACTAACTTCAACACAATAATCTTCCATGCATCAGAATAATCCTTGACTAGATTGAAAACTCAAGTGTTGAATAAAATCGAGGATTATCATAAATACTGTTCCTCTATGCCAAGAAAAAAACCCGGAGAGATTGTCATGGAAAAGTTTATCTTGGCATTTTTAATGCTCTCAGCAAGCCCCATTTGTATATTTATTGAAAATGAAAAATGCATGCAATTAATCTTAAGAAAAAAGATAATCTAGATGCAATCAAGTACTGTATTCATATTTGCCTGAACCCAAATTTAAAGCAACAAAAGCATGCAAGTTGTTGCAATATGTTTGAGTTGTCACAGTGCAACTTGTGGCAGTGCAAACTGTCAGGTAATCTTATACATTGTGTTTAAACAAATATTCTTAGAATGAACTTATAATTTTTAAAATTGTTTCAATGAAGGTACTGTACCTGCATATATACACTTTTTTACTGTGGCAATTAATGCTTAACAACTTTTATTATGAAATTTTAAACTATGATGAGTAAACAAGTTGTACTTTGTCGTCATTTATTTGGTCTTGTGCTGTTTCACTCAACTTATACAGCCAGAAACAAAAAACTGAAGAAACTCTTTACAGTATGATCCATGGCTCTTTTCTATGTCATTCATTCCAGCTATGGACCCAACTGTTTGCCATTTGGTGCTCCACCACACTGCTTCAGCTCTGGTAAAAAGATTACTATATGATGGTATTGCACTACAGATGTAATCACAAGTTTGAATTTTGATTCAACATCTTCAAGGTGACAATCTCAGGATGATGCAAGAACCTTCACTGTTTGCTTTCCAAGTGGTTAAATCCAAAGCACACAACAGATTGGCTACTGATCTGCGCTACATGAATCCACACTGGAATTGTGAAAAGGTTTTCCAGGAGGCCAAGAAAATCCTTATTGGACTTTACAATCATATAATCATCAGTGAATACTTGCCTGCTTTGCTGGCTCCTTCCACTTTGGACAAATATGGACTCAGACCAGCCAGAGTATGTAACTCTGCTTGATTAATACAATACAATGTCATTCTGTTGCATGCCTTATTGTTGCAAATTTTATACAGCTTTACAGATATGACTATGACCCATATGTGAACCCAGGAGTCTGGAATCCATTTGGACAAGCAGCTTTCAGGTTTGGTCACTCCAAGGTTCCTGATTACACTCTTCTGTTGGACTATGACTTCAAAGTCCTTGGTATGGTTTTTTGGGAATACTAATTGTTGAATTGTGTATAAGAAGGGCTGAGTAAATTAAAAAAAAACATAAAACAGAGAAGGACCCATACTGGCACTGGTTCGAACGTCCAGAAAGACTTATTGGAGCAGAGACAGTAAATTGGATTGTCCTTGGTGCTTCTCAGCAGCCATCTTTGAGAACTGATGAATGGGTCTCCACTCAGGTGAGTCAGTTAATGTTCAATATGCCATAAGTATTTATTTATTTATTTGTTTATTTTAAAATGCACCAAAATTCAATGATGGCATCAATGTATATACAAACCTGTGGCCTGCAGACCATAGTGCTGTTCCACAGAAGCTTTTTGGGTACTTTCCTGTTATCTCAGTACCTACTTTCCTGTTATCTCAGTACCTACTTTCCTGTTATCTCAGTACCTACTTTCCTGT